GAAATCCGGTTGATCTTGAGAAGGAAGCGAAATTTGTAAAATCCTGTTAGCATCAATATGCCAAAAATTATCATGTACCAGATGCACATTCCACTCGCCTGTTTGAGGGTCAATAAGATCTTGCACAATCTCAAGAAGAAAATTCCTACGTGGTGTCAAAACATGCCTATCATGAGTAGTGGGAATCCCAAGATTCCACCAAATTTTAATGTTTGCCCCACTACCTGGTCTCCAAACTGCACCCCTCCTCAAAGTCTTTAATCCTGACAATGATACCGCGCCATGTAAACGAGGCACCTTTCTATAGCTTAGATTTTAAAGGGTCTTCATCAAGGTATTACTTTGCTCGAAGTACCTGAGCACATAATGAGTGTGGTTCACATATAAGTCTCCAACACTGCTTAGCCAACATTGCTTGATTAAAACAGTGTAATCACGAATCCCATTCCTCTCTTTTTCCGTGATGCACATCTTCCACCAAGCTTTCCAATGCAATTTCTTTGATTATGCGAGCCACCCCACCAGTGCCTAGTAATTGCATCACAAATACTCTTGCATATATTCTTTGGCAAACTGAAAACGAACATTGCATATACTAGGATAGATTATGCAACAGATTTTAACAGTACTTTATTTTCCTCCCAGTGATAGCATCCTCGCATTCCACCCATCAATAAGAGCCCAGACTCTACCAAGCAGATGCTGAAAACAATGACTGCGGTCCACCCCCACATGCGAGGGTAATCCAAGATACTTATCTGTCATTGCCTCAACCACAAATTTAAGTTCTTTTCACATAGGAAGTGATCGAGATTATGAAACATGGTGGCCATTCTCTTGGACCCACGACAGCGATGTACGATGATTATTTCTTACTTTGTCATGAGTTTAGTGATGTTTCATTCGAGTTTTGTCCTATGGAAGCCAATACGGCGGCACATGTTTTAGCTAGTAAGAGCTTAGCCCTCTTGTGTGCAAGAGGATCCTCTTAATTTTCTTGTCTCTGTCTTGTCAAACGATGTAAGTGTTCTCACAAAAAAAACCGATGTAAGTGTTTTGCCTAGTGAATAAAACCGCTATAAAGGCTTTCCTTAAAAAAAGAAAGAAGATGCCGGTACAAGTTTTTTCTTTCTTGTTCGTGTTTTGTAGGGGAGTTTTTCTTCTTCGGTCGAAACGGCAGCACCACCGGGGCAGGAAATGGAAATCCTATCCTACAGCAGCCCAGCCCAACATCGCCAAGATTTGGATGCGCCACCCAAATATCTCGACCCCCATTGCCCACTTTTTTTCCGTGCGCCTGCCCTCCCATATTTCCCCTCCCCGGATCCACCCATCCCGTTCGCCAGCTCCGCCCTCGCTTCTTCCCGGTGCGCCACCGTCAGGTACCTTCCTCCCAGTTCTAGAACCTTCTCGACGCTTCCATCAATTCCCACTCCTTCAATTCGCGTCCCTAGCTCTACCAGCAGCGCGGGGTTGCAGCCTTGCGCCCGGATTTCATTCCCCCTCAGTTGCTTGCTCTAGATCTCCGAGTTCCTTAGGCTCTTTTCTCTAGATCTGCGGGGTTTTTCGGCGTAGGTACGTGGTCATGGGGGCTGCAGTACCTGCTCTGTAATCGATGTGTGAACTGTGAAGTGTTTCATGGTTGCCGAACGCTTCCGATTTTAGGCGCGTAGGAAATACGGAATTGTTCGTCTGGTTAGAGGCAAGATCGGTTGTATTTTAGGTTTCATAGTAACCTTTTGCAGTATTTTACTCCCAGTGAGTGGCTGTGCCCTCTGTTTGTTGGAGAACTTTTGTCATCGCGCTTCTATACTATCACTGTTCTAGTTTGGTTGCACTGCGTTAGTTACTTCTTAAGGTAGTCAAGTATTGTTTAATCGGAGGGGAATTAATGTTTACTACTCTAGATTGTGAGGGAATGGATGGATTTTGCATGATCTTGCTCTAGGAAACGACTAGTCTTCTGCAATTATCATTACACCTTTCAGATGTTGTTGTCTAGATAAAAAGATTTATACCAAAATAATGATGGATGTAATTTATGCGTGTTTTTGATCAATAAAAATGTTCTTGTTACAGGGTATACCTCACATGTTCTAGGTCGTTGGTGAGAGTTTGTGCTTCAGATGGCTGGGGCGCTGCACAGTTCTTGTTGTCGGGCTCTGTTATTGTTGGCTGTGCTGTTGCTGACTTTGTCTCCAGGCAATGCATTCTACTTGCCTGGCAGCTACATGCACACATACTCCCAAGGTGAGGATATATGGGCAAAGGTTAATTCACTCACGTCCATTGAGACTGAGATGCCGTTCAGCTACTACAGTCTGCCATACTGCCGTCCACCTGGTGGCATCAAGAAGAGCGCCGAGAACCTGGGTGAGCTTCTCATGGGTGACCAGATCGACAACTCACCCTACCGGTTCCGTGTGAATGTCAATGAGTCCCTCTTCCTCTGCACCACGAAAGGGCTTAATGAGAATGATGCAAAGCTTCTCAAGCAGCGGGCCCGTGATCTTTATCAGGTGAACATGATGCTGGACAATCTGCCTGTCATGCGTTTCGCTGAGCAGAATGGTATCACAGTACAGTGGACTGGTTTTCCTGTTGGTTACACTCCCGCTGGTAGTGCTGATGATTATATCATCAACCATTTAAAGTTTAAGGTCTTGGTCCATGAGTACGAAGGAACAAATGTAGAAATAATCGGTACTGGAGAAGAAGGATCTGCTGTCATATCAGAGATGGACAAGAAGGGGATGTCTGGGTATCAGATTGTTGGTTTTGAGGTCGTGCCTTGCAGTGTGAAGCGTGACCCCGAGGATTTCTCTAAGCTTAACATGCATGACACCATTGAACCTGTGAGCTGCCCGGTGGAGCTTCGAATGTCCCAAGTGATCAGGCAACAGGAGAGGATCACGTTTACCTATGATGTTGAGTTTGTGAAGAGTGACATCAGGTGGCCATCTAGGTGGGATGCTTATCTGAAGATGGAGGCTGGTGCCAAGGTCCACTGGTTCTCTATAATGAACTCCCTCATGGTCATCTTGTTCTTGGCAGGAATCGTCTTTATTATATTCCTGAGAACTGTCAGGAGGGATCTCACCACATATGAAGAGCTCGACAAGGAAGCGCAAGCACAGATGAATGAGGAGCTATCTGGGTGGAAGCTTGTTGTTGGAGATGTGTTCAGAGAGCCAACTTGTCCCAAGCTATTATGCATCATGATTGGTGATGGAGTTCAAATTCTGGGCATGTCAATTGTAACAATTGTTTTTTCCACACTTGGGTTCATGTCTCCAGCTTCAAGAGGAATGCTTCTTACCGGAATGATTATTCTCTATCTTTTCCTTGGTATTGTTGCTGGGTATGTCAGTGTTCGGCTATGGAGGACTATTAAGGGAACGTCTGAAGGATGGAGATCACTGTCATGGTTGACTGCTTGCTTTTTCCCTGGTGTCATGTTTACTGTCCTTACCATCTTAAACTTTGTGCTGTGGGGAAGCAAGAGCACTGGAGCTTTACCTATATCATTATTTTTCACCCTTCTGGCTCTGTGGTTCTGTATCTCTGTGCCGTTAACGCTTGTCGGTGGCTTCCTTGGTACAAGAGCAGAGCAAATTGAATTCCCCGTTCGCACCAACCAGATTCCTAGAGAGATCCCTGCACGGAAATATCCATCATGGCTTCTGGTCCTTGGAGCAGGCACGCTGCCATTTGGAACCCTGTTTATTGAGCTGTTCTTCATTCTGTCGAGCATCTGGCTTGGAAGGTTCTACTATGTGTTTGGCTTCCTGCTGATTGTCCTGCTGATGCTTGTCATTGTTTGCGCCGAGGTATCTGTTGTCCTTACATACATGAATCTCTGTGTTGAGGACTGGAGGTGGTGGTGGAAGGCTTTCTTTGCTTCAGGCTCTGTTGCGCTCTACGTGTTCCTCTACTCCATCAACTACTTGGTCTTTGATCTCAGAAGCCTGAGCGGTCCTGTCTCTGCAATGCTCTACATCGGCTACTCATTCCTCATGGCGTTCGCGATCATGCTCGCCACTGGAACCATTGGCTTCTTGACGTCAATATCCTTCGTGCACTACCTCTTCGCGTCCGTGAAGATCGATTGATGGATGGTTGCCATATCAATGGCCTTCTGTATCTGTATTGCTAAAAGTACGTGCGTGAGTTTCGCCATGAGAAGCGCAGTTTAATGAGGTGATTTTGATCAACTGCAGATGTTTTTAGTAGATGTTGATGCAGCTTTTCCCTAGTAAATGTAGTTCCGCTGTTCAACTGCAGATGTTTTCTTAGTAGATTTTGGTCAGCTGCTACACTTATTCAGATAGATACTGCAAGTCTGCAACCCATATCTACATAGTGTTAAGGGGTAATGACAATGAAATTCTAATCTGCGAGTGGCAAGGCATGGTAGCCACCTATTCTGTAAAAGATCTTAATGTGTGAACATTATTTGCTATGTGTTTCTTGACCTAATTTCAAAACTATCAGGAAAACACTTTCTGTTTCTTTTATAGTGTCGTTTTTCCTTCCAACTGAAAGCCAGATGTCTTTTGCCATATTCCTTGGGAAAATTCTTTCTGTTTCTTCTACAGAATGTCACTTTGTTAGCCACTTCTACAAGAAAATTTCTTTATGTTTCTTCTACATAATGTCACTTTGTTCTTCTACAAGAATATGATTCGAACAGCCATATTGGTACACTTCAGCGGTCCAGGAAACCATTTCTTGGCATGCTAGTGGTTCTGTTGCAGTGACATGCAAAAGTAATTCGCAAAAAAAAAAGTGACATGCAAAAGTGCAGAGTTTTTGTAGGCAGTTGAATACAAATTCAAATGTAATGTAAATAAACACAGCTCTGCAGAAGCTGTTCTTTTATTACGAACGCTGCTCTGGTGACCATCTGGTGGTATGAACAACAGAAGACGTAGGTAGGAACAGATAGTAGTAGTACATCGATCTTAGTTCCGGCGACACCACAGAGCTGGCCGGGCCGCTCACGCCGGCGAGCGCTTCACGTTCTTGGCCCAGATTATGTGCCCGTACGGCATGAGGTGGCAGACCGGCGTGCCGCCGGGCTTGGTGCCGAGGAGCTTGAAGGAGACGTGCTCCGGGTTCCACAGGGACGTGTCGGTGTGGCACACGGCGGCGATGGTCACCGCGTCGGCGCCGCGCGCGCCCTCCATGTCCACCGTGTACGCCCTGGACGGGCCGGTGGTGTGGCACCGGTACACGGTGTACGGGTAGGCCTCGTCGTGGCACGCCACGAAGACAGGCCCCCCCTCCACCGGCTGCACGGCGACGACGGTGTACATCTGCAGCGGGGCGCCGGCGCGGGGCAGCGTCGACGTCACCGGCCTGATGTCCCGGGTCCCCAGCACTCCCATGGCGCGCTCCACCAGGGCCTCCAGCGAAGTCGCGCAGAACTTGGACTCCCCGGCGATGGTGGGCGACTCGCAGGCGCGCAGCGTCGCCTCCATGCTGGGCACCGTGGTGGAGTCGGACGCGATGCCAAACGTCGCGAGGATGCCGGGCAGCGCGGCCGTCGTGAACGGGACGGAGTCGGCGACCTGGCGCGGCAGGAAACCGAGAGCGGCGGGAGTCGCCGGCGGGAAGTGGAATGGGAGCCTCCTGCCGACGCGCACCGCCTCCTCGTGAAAGAACACCGTCGTCGTCTCCGCCTTGCCGCCCCTAGCCATGTACGCCCCGCTTCCAGCGAGGCTGCTGCTCGGCGCCTTGTATTCATCGGTGGCACCACGACGTTCGTCGGCCCCGCTGTAGTTGTCGTAGTCGAAGCCCCCCGCTCCGGAGGCGGCGACGGTGCTCTTGCTCGGTTCATCATCGGACGACGAGCGGCTGTAATCACGGTAGTCGAAGGGGGGCCTGTCCTCGGGGTCTCTCACGAAGCTGGTGGATTCTGTGCGCAGTTCAACACCCACGCGTGCATGCATTTTTGTGTTTGGTGATCAATCAAACTCGAGAGAAGAAGACAGTTAACGGAGGGCGACGAGGAAGATGCAAGACAGACCTGCTGCAGGTTGTTTGAGGAGGCGGAGAACGGCGTCAGGCAATGGCGAGTGCGGCAGCACGGCGCGCCAGAACACCTCCCCCGTCGCCGGCGCCGCGTGGCCCAGCTGCCCTCCAGCCTGAACCTGGGACGAAACAGGCCGTTAGCACCAGTTTGTGATTGATTAATCTCATGCAAAATGTACTAGGTGCAATTTGCCAAAATGAAGAAGATGCAGGCGTTGCTCTTCTTCGGCCATTACCGCGACCAGGGTGGCAGCGAGGAGGGCGACGAGGAAGCGCGCCATGGATGTGCGCTAGGTGAGAGGTCGAGAGGTTGTAGTACTTGGGAGTGATAATGCGATCAGGCGAGGTACTTATAGGCGTCGTCGGCTTGACGGGAAGGTGTTTCATTGACGGCGACACCAAACAGAAAAGCTCTCGATGTGAGCTGTGCGATCGCATGGTACGTGCGGCACCGGAGAATATTATCGTGGGCGTGACATCCGACGATCCGCGCGCGAATGGCGTGTTGTGTGGCGCGGCAGCGTCGCGTTCGCGTTCGTGTGCGGTGCGGTGCTCGCCGTCCACGCCGTTGCAGCTTTTTTTTTCTTGCGGATCTTCGGGGGGTCCGTGGCGAAAATTTTGGTGTGTCGCAGGAACGGCTCCTCCAAGGTTGCAGACGGTGTCCCCGTTGGTCTGAACGCAGACCCGGAAGAAGTATCGGAACAACTCAAAGTGAGTGGCTGTCCCCAGAAAGCATTCGCAAAATACGATGAAGTTTACAATGTGAAGAACCCCGTTTGGTGGGAATGAGATGTGCTGTAGCTCCCAGCCGTAGAAGCGCAACAGCTCACAAACGAAGATGTGTAGGGGAAACCTGAGCTAATGTAGGGTAGAACCCTAGGGGCCGATCTTTCACGAAATGGAGGGGATCTCCCGAAGAAAACGATGAACACAAGGAAAACAAAAGAGAGGAAACACTCCAATAGACAAGATCCAATCACACATATGCTAAATCCACATACACATAGAGGGATACAAAGGTTTAAATCCAACACAAGAAGATACAAGAGGTAACTAGTTCATCCCAATCCTTAAAGGAGTTGAGGTCTTGAATCCTAGAAGGATCTTCGCATGATGGGGTCTTGATTCCCCTATGGGATCTTCTCCAAAGGAGACCTTGGACTCCAATGGAGTGCATCAATCTCACTCTCTCAAGAGGAGATGGGGGTAAGGAGCAAATCTCACATGCAAATGAGCTATCAAAATGCTAACCCTAGAATGGAGGAGGAGGATGAGTATATATAGTGATAGCCACGAAGGGATAAGTGAGGGGCGAAAGGGTACATGCGCTTCGGCCCGAGTCTCTGCGTGCAGGCAGGCCGGGAGTTCCAGGGATGGCCGGAAGGTCCAGGCGCCGGAGGTTCCGGTCGAAGGTCCGGGCTATCCAGAGATTTGGCACGCTCTCAGACGGCTTCGGTGTGTCGGGGCCGGAAGTTTCGGATGACCGGAAGTTCCGGGCAGGAGGCCAGAAGTTCCGGGCTTTCCAGAAGCTTGTCCATGCTTCTTCTTCCTTCTCTTCCATGCTTCCCTCGCGGATGGTGTAGTTGTACACTTGTGCTCGCACTCCTCCTCATCGTTCATGGTACTCCGACAATACCTATGCATGCACACGTGAGAAGTGTCAAGTAGTATACCATCCTCGGAGGGATCAAGTGAGCACGTGTAAAGGAGATGATTCACCTTTATGTATGTGAAGTAGATGTGATAGGTGTCACTTGCTGAATGAACTCTAGACATGGTGATGTCCGTAGTATGCTCCGCATCATCCCCTCCCACTTGGGAAAGATCCGACCTCGGATCAAAAACCAAATCACCATGGGAAAGAGACGGCGTCACCATGTAGAAGTGGACGATCACCAAGCACTCATCATCTTGAAGCTCGAAATAGGCACTCTCCAATGTCGCACCGTCATGTGGTTCCTTCAAAAGGAGCAAGGACAACAAACACTTGGAAAAATAAATGTGGTTAGCGTTAATGCAAAACCAATCATTCAAAAGGTGAGTCACCCAACAAGTGTCATCATCAAGCCTAGCATATGGTGTGACAAAGGATTGTGGCATGTCACAGAAGCATATGAATTGAGCACAATCAAGGACATCATGGAAACAAGCATGCAAATGGGAGGTAGAGATGCTATATATTTGACAAGAGAACAAACATCTACCTCAAGGTATAACAAACATGCACAAAGCGCTCAATGAAAGGTCTATGGTAAGCATAGGAGTCATTCACAACACCAAATAAAATGAAGTGTCTAAACACATGAGTCAAGTACAAGACAATCCAAGCATAATGTGCATATGGTGTAGTGAATATAGTGTGGCACTCAACACAATATAAAAAGCAATTGTTCATCATGTGAGAGGCAATCAACGCAAGAATATAGCAAGCAAAGGGACATGGCATATGTGCAGAAATGACATTGTTGCAACCAAGCATATAATAGGAGCAAGTAATCCGAGAATTGGATGCAACACACAAGGTATATATGTCATGAGGCATGGACAAGTGAAAATGACAAGTGGAAGCAATATCTCTAACATGTGCACAATCAAGTAGTCCAAGATGACCAATAAGTCTCATGGCGCAAGCAACACAAGTAGTATGATTCACAATATTCATGGTTATGGTATCAGGGTTCTCAAGAGAGAAGGATATCACCTTGTAAATGTGTCCTTGTGTGTCCTTCACAATGCCGAAGTACAAGCAAGTGCGATGTAGAATCATCGTAGTAGAAGGTGGTTCGCTCTCAAGAGCTCGGATTGTCAACTCACATGACGTGGAATTTGACACAAAGTCCAAGTATCCTGCACATGCAGAAAACAAAGCAAAGAACATGTGCGCATGGTAGATAAACACATCATCCATCATGATGGTTCTCTTTCTTGCACATAATCATTAGGAGCACAAGTGCATGAATAATATGATGCAACAATGGCGATATTCATGGCACTAGCTAGGTATATGGTGCAAAGAAGTAACACAAGCATGATTTGCAAGAAATATGTCAAAAGCTCCAAATATATGGGAGAAAGCTATGGGGACAATCTCATTAGCAAGACTAATATCATTGTTGCACTCAATACATGGCAAATTATCTAGCATGAAAGAGGCAACATATGGAGACATATGACAACATTTAATAGCAATCATGTGCAAAGCATGGAAATGGTTGTCATCAACCACATGAAACGAGCAAGTATGAATCATCGGCGATGCAACATAGGCAAGCATATAAATCATGTCTTGCAAACTAGTGGAGCAAAGATGCAACACACTAGAGGAAATCATGTCAATCATGTGATGTGAGCAAATAGTAGGCATAGGCAATGCACATGACATATCGCAGGCACGAAAGCAAATCATGGTCAAAGTATCATCATAGGTATGGGTCACAAATGGAACATGGCAAGAACAAGCAATATCTCCACCAAGCTTGCAAATACACATACAAGTAGTAGGATCAATCATCATGTGTAATGCAAAGCATGGGTCACAAATGCATGGTAAAGGCATAGGAATGAGCATATCATGCAAAGTGAACATGGCAAGATGGGCATAGAATATGTAATGGAAAATAACCCATAACCATGTGAGGGCCATGTACACGAAATGAGTGAAGCCTTTACACAAAGGGAGTGGTGGGAAAGACAATCCATGGGATCCCAAGTCATCATTGCTCTCTAGAGCTCGTTGAGGGAGTCTTGGATTAAGGGGTCCTCGGACAACCGGAATATATGCGTGCGCCGGACTGTTGGGTTATGAAGATACAAGATAGAAGACTCCATCCCGTGTCCGGATGGGACTCTCCTTTGCGTGGAAGGCAAGCTTGGTGATTCGGATATGAAGATTACTTTCTCTGTAACCGACTCTGTGTAACCCTAGCCCCCTCCGATGTCTATATAAACCGGAGGATTTAGTCCGTAGGACAAGAACAATCATAATCATAGGCTAGCTTCTAGGGTTTAGCCTCTACGATCTCGTGGTAGATCAACTCTTGTAATACTCATATCATCAAGATCAATCAAGCAGGAAGTAGGGTATTACCTCCATCGAGAGGGCCCAAACCTGGGTAAACATTGTGTCCCCCGCCTCCTGTTACCATTAGCCTTAGACACACAGTTCGGGACCCCCTACCCGAGATCCGCCGGTTTTGACACCGCCACTCGTTTCGTCAACTCATGGGCTTGCGAGGTTGACGAGTAAGTATGGGGACCTACACAACAAAGACGCAAACAAAACAATGTGTGTCATTGGTAAATGTACACATCATCCATCATGATGTGTATGTGCACGTGTGAGTTAGCACAAGATAAGCAATGCTCAAAGAAATTTGAAGCATGGTATATGACATGTCATCCATCATGAAAGAATAGTTGTATGTATGACACATGAGGACACAAATTGAGCATGCAAGTATATGGCACACCAATATCGTTTTCATTCATGGGGATCATATTTAGCACATAATTATTGGGATCATGCAATGGATGGGAGTGATTAAAATCTCCTAACATGTATGAGGAAACTATGGGGGTCTCCTCATGAGCAATATCGGAAACGTCATATGAAGAAAATGGACAACATCCAAAACAATGCATATCCAAAGCTAGGTGGTCATGGCATGGCATATGATGTATATGATGCAAAGGGATCATATCAATATCATCACAAGAAAAACAAATGCCAATAACCATGGGCTTGTCATCTATGACATAAATGCAAATTGGGTTTATTTGAATGGCATGTGCATAGTCACTACGATGATATTGCAAATATGACATATGGTTGTTCTCATTCATAGCATATGACAAGTCAAGCGAATTGTCAAACATGATGTGACCGAAAGAATTGTCAAAAGAAATCCCATGTAACATGGCATCACAACTAATAGACTCGACATAGCAATCATCAAACTCATCATAAATGGGTAAATCATCGCATGGGGAAATCATACTAGCATGAAGCATGGTAATACGTCTATCAAGGTCATGCAAGCAATCAATGTACACTAGTGGGACTAGAGCATCACCTTCACCTATGTTTACTTTGTTCATTTCATTCAAAGTGGTGTAGGTGAGGTGGCAAAGACCAAATGGTGGTAAAAATCATCATCTTGATGGAACCATGTGGGAGGTGCATCATATTCCACCTAAAGGAAATATGCCCTAGAGGCAATAATCAAGTTGTTATTTTATATTTCCTTATTTCATGATAAATGTTTATTATTCATGCTAGAAT